CAGTATCTCCCTAAATAATTTATACTTTTACAGATCTAATATGTACATATAATCAGTACATAGAGCTATCATTTCAACAGCATAAAGACTCTCCATTCTAGCTGTATTATTCATCAAAACACAGGGGTAATGAAAGGGCCAAATGAATACCAGAGGCAACAAGATCTCCAAATAGGAGCCTTAAAATTATGAACATAAGACAAACCAAATCATACATCCCTGCAAGCAGCTTCACAGATAGAAGAGGGTAACACTGATTGAATCCAATGAACAATGTAGCCCAATTTGTCATTTCAGTAACATTTTCTGTAAGAGTCAGCTCAAGCCAATGAACTGTTACAATCCTAAATGCAAAGCAAGGTCATACCTTAACTGGATTACAATATGGGAATTTGAAACAACACACAAAAAAACCACACCCCAGAAACCTGATGCAAATGAAAGCAATGGGTGCTTCTTTCACAGAAGACCCACAGTTTCAGTTGTTGCACTGCAGCATCCTTACTGGAACCAAATAGATGTTATTGCAAGAGAGACCACTATTTAAACAAAGACATTTGTTCTTCCTCTCCTCACGATGCTATCTTATCATAGTCCAAGTGTTTTATATCAGCACACTGAAATGATGTGTAATGAACAAGGATGTTCAAGATAAACCCTAAGAGGTACAAAGCAAATATTTCCTTTCTCTGTAAACAGTATGACTGAACCAACTTCTTGAAGAAATCAAGCTATATTTATATTCAACCTCTTGAAATGCTACAGGCAGCCATAGAAGGATAAGTTTATAATAAATTGCTATATTTGGAAACCTTTGTTGCTAAGCATCTTCTAACATTCAGTACAGTTTATACCATTCATGTCGCTGCTACATAATTAACATTTCATGTGTTTTTCACCAAAAAAAAAGTGCAGTGCTTATGCTTGTTATTAAATTAAAGCCATTGCAATTTTTTAGGGAATTAGTAGAAGATCACAGAGCCAAGTAATTAAAGCAGAAGCAATATGATCTCGGAGGCATATGAACACTGACATTATATGCGAGGCTATCGCAAAGTCCATCTTCTCTCTCCAGTCTCTGCTCTAGATAGAACAATTCAGAAGGCAGCTGATCACAGTAAAAGGTAGTCTACTAAGTGACTAAGGACCCAGTCAACCTCTCTCTGTCTGAAGAATATGACTTTCAGCTGCACTCCTAAGCTCCTGTCAATAATTCTGTGCATGTGAATCCCTCAAAGGGGACCCAAGTCCTCAAGCATCTACCACAACGAGCTTGTTGCAAGTTGATGTCTACAGGATGTAGCTTATCCCCCACGAAGATATTGGGCAGGTTTACCACACTACGCTGTTAACCTGTGCAAAGGCACACACTTCACTGTGGAAATCCCAAGTATATCGCTAGACATCAGGGAACACAGCAAACCCCAACTTCTTCAACGCAGTCACTACAGACAACATGACTTGGAACGGAGACAAGGTCCCCTAATTCACAAAGCACTCCACCTAAGCTAGTGATACTTGCCAGGTTAAAAATACCAGTTTTATTTGTAAATCAAATAATATTTGCTCAAGATGTGAGAGCAGGATACAAGCAGGAGATGGATACACAAACAGAGATGATGCTTGTCACCCTGCTGTCAACTCTTGCAGCAATACCCTAAGCTCCACGATACCTAGCATTTTTCCTATCAAATCACAAAATCGTGGGGCTTCATTTTGTAAGAAGCTAGATCTACATCTTTAATAGTAGAGTAGTACAGGAAAAGATGACATTGTAAGAAATACCCATTAATATTTTTAAAAATTCAGCTGATCAAACAGAAACTCTGTTAATCAATTATTACATCTACACATAATTTTGCAGATGTTAGCTCAAAATAACCTGTTCAGAAAAGTCCAAACCACACTGCACAGATGCTCCAGGCTACTTGTCCACCTTTCTTCTCCTTACCCATTCCAGCACGCCCAACACCGAAATTCTGCACACACCACATACATACAGTTCTAGAAACATTCACCTCAAGCTGAACACTAAAGCTTCCTCAAAATTCTTAATGACTTCCATGAAAATGCAGAGCTGCTGGTGCTGAACAGAATAGAAAACTCGCCTGTCCCACCCCAGAATCACCAGTAAGCAACTCTTGCACTGTAGAACAAATGAATTCTGCCAAGAAAACAGCTGGAATATGTCAAATTCCACAATAGCTACTTACTTCTCATTAACGCATGTTCTTCAGAATTACATATAAGACTAACATCTAAAATTTCTATAAGGAAGTATCTTCAGAAACCTAACTACATATGCACAAGTGAAAGGTTTGCCTATCACAGTCCTATCATTACCACATTTACTGTGTTACATTAATTACTACACCCTTGGTTTTTAAAAGCACTACATATGTAATATTGTACATGTGTTAAAGAGTTGAAGTATAAAGATACAGAACGATAATTCCTTTGGAAATTATCTAAACTTTGTATCAGGAATATAAACTTAGTTGTTAAACTTTAACTCTTTCCAGCCACAAAAGAAATTGCTAAAGATACAAGTGGGACTCCAAGATATAAATACCTTTATACCTATATAAATATGATCAGGACTCAAGAGTATCCTATATATGATTACTACAAAACCATCAGCAAGCAACAATAACCTTGTACCAAAAACAGAACATGTAATTCTGAGTTCAAAATTCTTCCTTCCAAGTGAGTTTTGACATTTCACCTGTACTTGAACACACATTCTATGTAAAAGCAGCACAAGTAGGCTTAAAATTTGCAGAAGACCTCTTATCTCAGATATTGCCCAAGTAATAAGCATTTTGGTTATTTAGCAGCATGCACCAGCAGTCTTAACTGTATGTTTATATCATGTTTTATGTTCCAACGTATATGAAATATTATGTTCAGTTCCAAGCCCTACGTTACCAAAAGGTTATTGACAAACTGGAGGGAGTTCAGAGAAAAGTAACATAATTTCTCAGAAGGCAGGAAGGACTTATTTATGAGGAAAGATTAAAAGAGCTAAATATTTATAGTTTGGCTCAGTAATGAATGAGGAGGTAGGGGACATGAGAACAGCTTAGAGATAGCTGAAGGGTGTAAACACTATGAAGGGAGACTGAACGTGTTATACAAGGATGTAAATAGAAATAATGAGATACAACTAAACAAGGAAAACGTAGGCTGAGTATCAGAGAGCATTCCTGGACAGCAAGCTATCTTGGCCTGCGGCACAGTTTCTTAAGTGAAGCAATAGAAGCCCATTGCTTGGAACAACAAACAAGACTAGACAAAACACGGGAAAATTGGCCGTATGGAATAACCTTGCTCTGCTGAGGAGAAACATTAGCTCCCAAAAGCCAGCCTTTTCTAAGCTGAACTCCAGCAAAGACGGTTTTTTTACAAGGTATTGAAAAATCTAACCTTTAAAAAACAACAGTTATCAAGAGCTTAATCAGAAAAAAAGAATCTGAATAAGAACATTCCTTAACCACAAGCAACTAAAATTCCATTTGTGCAATACTTGAACTGAAAGAGCTGCTTCTGCGAAGATTTGATGGCGCTGGACTGTGTTCTCCCCAGTAGAGGTCACTCCAAGTTAACAAGTGACAAAGAAATTCAGCATCATGTCCTGTCAATTCAGGAAAGATCAATAGAAAGGAGACATCCTCCTTTGTCATTCTGGACACAAAGCTCCAAAATTAAAGCGTGCCCTGTGATCCATCAGTTGTGGTTCTAAATAATACATAATGCTCAATTTGCAGGACATTTAAAATATATTTTCGAAAAGACCCTCAATGAAATGGGTAAATATCTACAGCTGGATTATGAAGTGCCCAGAATTGATGCACACATGCACAAGTAAAGTCTAGGCTGGGTCATGTTTGGAATTGAAACCGCAACACTTGTCCCTGTAATTTTTAGATTACATTAGCTAAGTATTTACTATGTGACACAGACAGACTGATGGGCTTCCAAAAACATAGAGGAAGGAAGATTAAAACAAAAACCAAAACTTAGTTTCTCTCTTTTGTTGTTGTTTGTATATATTCTTTTTTAAAAGTATGCTTGCTAACTTAAAACAGAGCTTAAAACATAACCGAAGCCAACAGAAGAGTGCTATAGAAAAGAACAACCTGTGTCCGTTCAGATTTTATTCTTCCTGATCCATACAGAAGTCTGCAAATCCACATGAGAGAGTTAACTCTTAAAAACGCTATGAATTGCCAAATAAAAACCTTGCTCTTGCAGATGCCATCACCCCTAAATAAAACTATTGTCATCTTCATAGTTAATTCTGATGCAAGAATTAAGCATGTGCTGTGCCGCTGCCAGAGGAAGCTGTCCCAGGGCCAAAGGAAATAAAATTAGCCAGCACATAGAGCAAACATATATTTGCACACTACGAGGGAGCAAAAATGCATAAGCAAAGCTGTAGAGTCGTATTTTTGACTGGACTGTTTTAAAGGGCTGCTCACGGGTGGATTTAAGGCCCAACACTTAAACGGCGTTAGGCACATTCTAGTGAAACGCAAGAATTAATAGAGCGTGCTTTTAAAAATTCATCCAACAAAAACAAAAGTGAACTCGTGTTTAAGTATTCCCTAGAACAGGCTGAACCCTGGCTGCATGATGCATGGACAATCCTCCAGGGTTATATGTCTGTACAGACTGAGGGACACTTCCCAGCCCCCAGCTCAGGGCATGCTCCCCAGCTCTCTCAGCTCTGCAGCACAGCTCGATACAGGCACACACTGTGTGTCCCCTGGGACAGAGGATTTCCCAGTCTTATTAATTTTCATAGTCCCCTTTAAAAATGTACTAATACTTGAAGAGTTTTTCTGATCTGCAGAGAAGCAGGCTGGCGTTCCTCATATATTAACATGCTTGGCTACGTTTTCTTGGACATTAAAATTAAACAAACCTTGCTGTTTCAAGATTTTGTAGCACAAACTAAGACAAAAGGAAGATCTTAAATAAGATACAAAAAGTCCTACCTGCTTCCTTGCACAAGGCCGCCAAGTCTGCGCCCACATAACCATGGGTGCTCTCAGCCAGCTGCGCCAACTCCGCTGCTGTGAGCGAATGGGGAACTCTCTTGAGAAGCTTTTGGAGTATGTCCAGACGGTCTTGGGCATTAGGAATTCCAATTTCTATCTCCTTATCAAAACGCCCAGGTCTGCGCAGTGCCGCATCCAGCGCGTGAGGACGGTTCGTGGCTCCAAGTACCAAGAGCTGCCCTTCGCTGCCTTCCTGAAGGCAACAAACAGTGCACAAAATCAATTTTCAGACACAATTAAATGCCACACAGCTTACAATCATACTTCTCGCTTACTTCTCAAGTCTTACACTAACTAAAATCGTGATGTTAACTCTGAAAGAACTAAGTCACCTTCTCAGAATATGTACACCCCACAAGTGATCCTGTCCAACTTAGTCCCACTAGCAATTTAGCAATACTGTAGGCTGCACGCTCATAATACAAGAGAAATTTTACTCCAAGATGCTTTCATTCCAGTGTCTCCTACTTTATTTACCAAGAATCTGCTTTCCTAAATCAGGCAAGTAAGCACCAAGAAAAATAAGTGTTTGAGTGTAAAGGCAGCATTGGCATAAGAACAAAAAAGTACCAGCACACCTAGAATAAACAAGATTGGGAAACAAGTCATTTAATGTATCAAAACCAACAGAGAAATAAGGGTAATCTAGCTTTCTGAAGGTTCAGTAGGAAAAGCAAAGTCAAAACCCCTAACTGATTCCCTCCTTTTTCCCTTTTAGAGTGAGGCAAAATCATCAGGAGGTTTCCCACAGTGCCACTCTCTTTTTGTGAATGAAGCACTTTCTCAAGGACGAATATCCATCAGCCTTTGCCATCAGAAAACACATTCTGCCTGTGAACAACTCCAGGCTGGGCAATTCCATCTATCACACAGGAAAATAATGAGAAATTTCCAGATTACATAACCAGCAGAAACTCATTTTCATACTGCAGACAGATTTCTTGCATCTTTCCTGCTAAGAATCATAAAATAAAAGATGACATAGTGGCAAAATTTAAGGGCCTGATCCATAATGCACTCAAGTCAATCAAATTTAGTGTTTCTTCAGCAGACTTTTGTTTATATGTCATAAATATTACCATGGCAATCTTGAGATGACTGGTTTTGCCTTGAATAATGTAGCCTACACATCACCAGGAATGTTCTCCTGACTTGGATTTCAGAGCAATTAAAAACACCTGGTTTAGTTCAATGATGAGCTATCTCTAGAATTTCAGTTTTATCTCTGGAACTACACACATAAGAGAAGGCAAAAACAACAAATGAAAGAAAATTTAGTTTTAACGTCACAGCAGACACATTCTCCTCCTATATTTTCTGCTAGCATCCAATAAAGCATTAGATTACTACATTAAGTCTCACCTAAGCCTATTTTCATTTCCCCTGAAGGACACTTCCAAAATCAACTGTAGTAAAAAAGCCAAATTAATTTGTTCAGCTTGTCCTCATCTACAATAATAGTGCCAATACAGTCTACTTACTGAGCCAATGCCATCCATTAATGTCAGCAATGAAGCAACAACTCTCTTTTCAAATTCACTCTGAGCCCCTTCTCTTTTTGGGCAGAGAGCATCCAGCTCATCTATAAATATAATGGAGGGGCGACTGAGGGAAAAAAAGTAAAAAAAAAAATGGTAAAGTGCTCAGAAAGGTTTAAAACATCACAGCAGAGAAGTGCAAAGCTGGTGGCTGTTTACAGAAAAGGTCCAGTTCCTACAAAAACTAACAAGCATCCCACTCCTTTTGGCAACTGAAAGTTTCAACCTCGAATAGGATGTTATACAAAGAGGAACTTAAGATGATTAAAGTATTACATAACTAATGCCTTGAAGATGACCTACCAATCAACTTCTCTGTGACTCTCCCCCGAAGACTTAATGCTAAATGCATCCATTTATGAGTAAAAATACAGAGTTTTACTTCTCACTCCTACTAGTCTTTTGCCAATGACTTTGGAAAACTGACTGTCGGGAAGCCTAAGCTCTCCCTTAACAAGGTCTAACAAACTTGGGCAGAATGCCACCCTAATTCAGAGGCATGCTATATCCAGTACCAACACCACTTCACAGCACTGCATCAGGTTCCAAGTACAGAAAAAAAAAAGACAAAATTTTGGATCCAGGTAAAACTCTGGCTCATGCTTCCATCTGTTGAAATAAGCTTATAATGCACTAATGATACAGATCAAGTGATCTGGCACCATCTGTAACAGTCCTTTAAAAAGGGCAGTGTCCAAAAAGCATTTAATAAGCATACTAGAATTTCACTGCTTTCCTCCTAGTTAAGCTCTATATAAACAAATTTATTTCCTTTTCAAAACAGCTGCAGGAAAAAATTACAATTCAAAGATTCTTGCAAATGTTTTTCTTTCAAGAACGTTAACGCTGGAACCAATACCGCAAATAAGTGAGTGTGAAAAAAATGATCCAAAAGAACATACCGCAGAGAAGCTTCAGCAAATATCTGACGTAATCTTGATTCAGACTCCCCATAAAACCTATAATAATTAAAATATTTTAATAGAAAAAGATTTTTGGTCTTTTCCAGGCAACTTGGAAAACTACTGGTCATACATTCCAAAAAGACATAGCATACCACTTCCAAGTCTCAAAGTGTACGCACATCTAAAAGAATCTTTATTTCTATAAGGACAAGAGATTAAGGTTAAATGGGACATGGGCAAAGACATAACCATCTTCTAACTAGAAAAAATAAGATTAAAGGCGAAAGCTTCTCTCTTCTATGTTAAAAATAATTTTATCTATATTTAAGAAATAAAAGTGTTGACTGGAGACATTTATCTGTGGAGTGTTTTCTTAATTTCAAATAAGCTTTAGAAGTCATTCCTGTTGCAGAACACACACATAATTGTAGATGCAGTTCTAGTCCCCTCTTTAAACGTAGTCCACACCTTACACACATTTCTTGGCCAAATCCAGTCAGCGTCTTTGATTACAAGAAGAAACATGAGACCTGCTTGAGAGAATTTTTTGAGTTCGTTTTTGACTCTCTTGGGCAGATATCCCACAGCCAGTTCTACATCTATCGCCAACACAGAGACGCCAGCACAGCTTTTGGGCCCATGTATTCATCAAATTAATGAAAAGAAACGGGGCAGACTTACTTGCTTAGTATTTCAGGACCGTTAATAACAGTAACATGAGCTCCAACCTCATTTGCAATGGCTTTGGCAATCATAGTCTTCCCAGTACCTGGCGGGCCATACAAGAGCACTCCTCTAGGAGGAGGGATTCCTTTAAACAAGCACAGGCACACGAAGAGAAAAGAAAGTTATTTGTGAACAACCTGAACTGACCAACCTGCACTCACACTCTTCATTGTCCCAGTTATTACTGATTATAACTTGACCTCAGCATTAACTTCTTCAAGAGACATATTTTAATAAATCTATAAGCTCCAAGTGGCAAAAACACTGAGACATAGCTATGTTTTTTGCTTCTAAACTCCAAACGATTCTCTTTAAAATGCACCTCTGTAAACCGTTATTTTTTTGCAGTAGTTCAATATTATAATTCTCCCAATGCACTGCAGTGTTTGCTTGGGGTCTTGTACCAAACAATTCTTGCACCAAGTACCTAATATCCATTAATGCACTTTATGAAGTGATTCATGATTCCCACAGCATCACTATTACTAATTTTAAACATCAGAAAACCACTTCTCCAAGATATACTGGGCCTGGATTCAAAAATACTTATGCAATAGTATGAAAAATACACATAATAAGAATCAATTTGCCTCTTAATGACAAAGATTAAGAACCAAAACATACAAAAACATACACATAGAGAATATAAAGTACTCCAGAAGAAAAGGTACCACTGCATACAGTTAAAACTGGACAGAAAACTATAGATAACTGCATGAAACATGATGACTGCAGATCAAGAACTAAGAAAAGCTTCAGACCAGCAAAGCCAAATTAAATGGGTATAAAGCTGAAAATAAAAGAATGAAAAATAAGGCAAAAAGAGATAAATTCTGGACAAAGGACTGACCCTGTCACAAAAAGACATTGCTGAAACATTGCTGAAAGAAGAAACGTGGGCTGGGTACTGCAATACCAGGCAGGGAATGATGCTGGAAGGGCAGGTCACATCCCAGTGGCAACTGTGAACAAGACAGCTGGCACAGGCAGAAAGCCCAAATCTTAGGAAGTAATAAATATTTTTTAAAAAATATAAATATCTGTTAACTGTCAGAGGACAGGAATAAAGTGCCCTTACAGACAGGTTACTTCACAACAGTCCATTAGAGCATGAGCTGCTCCCTCATGTGGTGTTTTTGATATTAGCAAGAAAGACCTACTGAAGCGAAGGTCTCACAGTGAGCACACGAGGGCTCTCAGCATTTGTGTAGTTACTAAAGGTTGGTCAGGAAACATCCCTCAAGTCATTAAAACAGATTCTGATCAAGCACTTCAGGTACCAAATATGAAGAAGGATGATGCTGAAGCCAGCTTCCAGCTAACACAGAACCCTGCAGTGATGTAGAGGCTGAAGGTCATCAGATGGAGCTGGACCCCAGGCAGATGAAGATCATAGAATCACAGACTGGCCTGGGCTGGAAGGGACCTTAGAGATCATTTAATCCAACCTCCCTGTCATGGGCAGGGACGCCTCTCGACTAGATCAGGCAACACATGGGGACCAAAAGGGGATCGAACCCACGACCTTGGTGTTATCAGCACCACCTCTAATCGACTGAGATGCCTCATACCGTCCCATGGATACGTTCTGGTCACACACCAACATGCAATGAAAGAGTCACCTGTGTCTCATGGAAATAGTGCCACTGAAATCACCTCCTCTCCCAAAGACTACGTTCAGGAAGAATTAAGACAAAGAGATCAAAAGCCCCAAAGACATGATAGTGAATAAACATTCATAGGCAAGAGCCTTGTCTCACAGTCATGCACACTTAGACAAGTAAAGTGAGCAGACATGCTTGCTCTAGGTATACATTCATTGTGATAAAAAAATCAGCACAAGATTCTGTCTTTGTCATGAGAAACCTCTAAATCCATAAATGATGTTAGATACCATCTTAGATGCAGCAACATTAATCACGTTACTTTTTCTACCCTGTAATTCCGTACTAAACACGCCAAGCACTTGGAATGAACAGCCTCAAACACTTTGCTTAGAACTTTGCAGGAACACCACAACACTCAAGGAAAAATCCAGAATTAATCCAAGCTTTTCTCAAATTAAAAAATCCTATTAGTTGACTCTAAGAAAGCAAATTCAAATATTAAAACAACATAAATATCTGTACCTCTCAAATGCCTGAACATATACAAACCCCTTCCCATTTGCTATAAATATTGCCTGGGTATACCTAATATTTCTTAGAGACACCGATTTCTTCCCCACTCTATTTTCACACAAGGTGATCATAATTGTATCCATATTGTACAATTGTAAAACAATTTGTCATAGTTTGGACACACAACTATACCAGAGAAGCATCATATACAATTCAGGGGTTGTTTGCAGGTGGTGTGGGTTTTCTGTTGTTCACTTGCTGTCTTTGAGTTTTGGTTGGTTGTGGGTTATTCAACAGGATAGGCAAGGGAAGTGTTGTTGTGTGGGTATTTTTTTTTAAAAAAAATCAAGTCAGATGAAAGAAAAACCAGCTCACAAACGAATAACAAATTAAGAAAACCAACACCTAGGCAACATACCGTAACTCTTGAACAGTTCAGCTTGCTTCAAGGGCAGTTCAACTGTTTCTCTGATAGTTTTGAGCTGGCTGCTTAAGCCTCCTATCATATCATAGGTGACTCGGGATTGACAATCACCGTCTTCAGCCACATTGGTCCTTGCTTCAATAAAACTGATTCTAGTTCTTGAAGAAATAAAATAAAAAACATCTGTACTGCTTATTGCTCCAGTTTTGCCAGTTAGTGGGAGTCCCTCACTGCTTCCTTTCCCAGTCAACTCAAAACCGTTCACGGAGAAGTCTGCACCATTTCCCTCACTGTACGTTTTATCTCCCCGACCAGAGTCTTGACCACTAGCTGCCACAGCAGAGATGGGTGTAACTGGTGAATTCGGATCCACCGGTTTGCTCGGCGTGCTCGTGGATAAAATCTCTAGACTGTCATCCATATTCATCTTGCTAAGCTGCAAAGACAAATCTAACGAACTGGTCTCCAAATCAGGCGTTTGCAGGTCTGGCTCATGCGTATCACTGGAAGTGGCATTGCCCTGGGCAGTCAGCTCCACACCGTCCGTGCCTTTCACTTTGATCACCACGATGTTACAAAGCCTGCCATAGAAACTGAAAGCCAATAGGTTCCCTGGTAAAACTACTTTCCCATCTGTGAAGAGATTAAAAAAAGAAATTTGCAATTTCATTTAGCAGCAATACAATTCAGACATTCTTCTCTGAGAATAATTATTGATCTGCCATCTTAGAGAGTGCTATATATCAACACAACAAAAGGTAGGTTGGTAATTTCAGATAATTTAAGTAATGCTTTTGTACAGAAGCACACTGTACTGAATAAACATTTGTCAGAATCATATGTAATCTCTCTGGCCAGAAGTTCACAGTAGTGATTGCTAAACAGGACCAACAATAAGTATAATGGATAGAAGGAATAAAATCACTATTAATGCAAATTAAATATTTACAGAACAGTAAAATAGTTCAGCCCAAAGAAGACAGACTCCTGAAAGAAGTGTCAGCAGAATACCATTCTTTATTTTGCCCTTGATAAACAACAGAGGAAACTGTTTGCTTTTCTATCCCAAACTTTATGATCTGCTACAAAAAATGAACAGTTAAAAAGGAACAACTTATACCTAGATTTCTGAGTAGACAGACAGACATTTCCTCGGCATTAACGGTGGCATCTCTGTCCCTGCAGTAGAAAGGAGGGGAAAAATATTAAAAAATAAATCAACTCTTTCCAAGAAGTAACTACTTCAAAACCAAAACAGAGTCCACACCACTAAGGTACAAGGACCTATTTCCCACCTACACCACCTATTTTCACAGTATCTGACTTAATGCCACAAACTGAAAATATTTATGAGCACTTTGCAGACTTCAGATCGTAGCATCTTAACTCTGATGACAGGCAACACATAGTAACAAAAGAAGCACAAATCTTAAATTTTGCACCAGTTCTTCCAAACAACATGGTGTAATAAACAATATCATAAATTACATTTAGCATTACTCATTTCACCAGACAGAACAGCCATTGTCATTACTCCCCTTAGTCAACCTGTACAAGCCCCACATTACCCCTTCTGTTTTCACAGCAAAATAAAGGTTTTGTTACTCAAATTTTGCAGACCTGAATCCACAACTTCGGTAAGCCCTTATATCTGCACAGCAAAAAAAAGCACGGAGCTTAACGGCAGAAGCACCAGAGCCATTTACAACAGATACAGCTGCTGCAAATAAAAGTGTGATCACCTGAGGGAGCTCTAAACCCAGAAATACTGAACATGTGTCTCAATTCCATGGATCAAGAAAGCAACTTTTGAGGGGTATTATGCTAATTTAGAGAAGAGCTCTTAAAAATATCATAAACCCATACTCAATCACATTATTGAGGGTCTGAGGTTGGAGATTGATATTTTTATTTTTTTTTTAACTGGAACAAAAAGCTCAATTATGCATGCAAACAACTCCCCAAAGGTATTAAATTGCCAAGAATGAACTACACACCTGTAAAGCACCTGGAAACCTAGGCAGCACTCAAATGATGGAATTTCCATTTATTCTTTTAATAATTTATATTCTTATATGACATAACAGCCCTACAGCTTGCAGTCAACTAGTATGTTTAAAACAGACCAATTACAGTTTTCATGTTTTATCTCTACGAGTAATACTGGAAAAAGTCACTTACATGACTTTTGATCTGGTGGTATGTATATACAACAGCCCTCAGAGCCTCACTCCTAACAGGCTGCAAGTGAAAACTCCGGCTGTGGAACAGTCACTAAAAAAATTACAGTGATAATAAATATTTCACAAGTTACATGCAATTCCTCCAAATTAATCTTTAGGTTAGGTCTCAGTAGAAGTCACAGCTTGAAAAAATAACGCATTGCATAGTAAAATGGGAAAACATTTATACTAGGTTTAATCATTAAATTAAATATGGGGGTCTTTTTTTAATGAAATTAGTGGTTTTGACCACCTCTACAAATAATCACTATGTAAAAACAGTAAAACACCCTAGAAAATTAAACTGACCATAAAATTAACCATTTATTAACAGAAGTTAATAAACGTATTCTTCTTGTTATTTTCTGGTGAGGAGAGGCATGGAGGGCATGCCTTTTACTGACAAAAGGCAAGACTGTCTCATCAGTATTTCTATGAGTCATTACACTGGAAAATAGCCTCTCCCTCTTAAAATGGACAATACCACCATGTTAGAAAACAGAGCTATGATAGGGAAGTTTATTTATAGAACTTTACATGTAGCAACACTTAAAATAGCAACTGTAAAATAACTTGCTTTAGGAAATAACTATAATAGATTCTCTATCAACTGGCTCTGTGAAATCTTCTGAGAAGGAGAAATACACTAAGTGGTTCAACAGACCAGTCAACTACTACTTTCTAAAGCATTCATGATTTCAAGACAACTACGATTTGTACCTTTTGCTCCCTTCTCTCCATCCATTTCAATAAAAAACCAAAACCATACCTCAGAGTTTCCCATCCTAAAATAATACTGCAATAAATGAAAACAGAACACAAAATCATGTAGATATGAAGTTTTGATGTGAAGTGGTTAAAAAAAAAACCACAAAACACACTTGACTCTCAACAAGCTGTCAAATAGTAGTTCACCCAACAACAGGACTTCTCAAAAAGACCTTCTCAGACAGCAATTGACATACTAGTTCCATCAAAGTAAGAGAACAAAAGCATCTTCTAAGAGTTAAGAGCCTGTACAGAGCAAAGCAGACAGCTCACAGTACATCACTAGGTCACAACAAGTTCCATACCTCAGCTTTACATGGATTTCTTCTGCCTGGATGACTGCACCGGTCACAGGCTGCACAATCACGTCATCACCTGCATTTACTTTCAGGTTCTTCCGAGTGGTTTCACTCAGCCCAACTTTGCCACCTGAAAAACCTGTGATGGGCCAAGCAGTACACACCTAGGGGGAGTTTTAAAGCAAACGACTGTCAGCTGTTGACTTTTTTTTCCCCCCCTCTGCTACCATTTTCAGTCCTCCAGTTCAAGCTTAAAATGTTTTGTTACAAGAAAACATGGGCTGAGGGGGAAAAAGGATTATATTAAAACCTGGTAGAGCAGAGATTAAGGTAATAGTGGCACCAAGTCCTTAAAGAACAATCCAAGATGATTTTTCGGGAAGGAAGGGGCTACGTTTTGCCTACAAAGGAGATAAAATGGCACCAGGACTCCCCATGTTCTATAAGCAACACTGTGCTGATTAGAAAATGCTACAAATAAATGAAGAAAAGGTAAATAGCTATATTAGTCTTTGCAATGAAACATACACTGAAGATCTTCGCACAAACCATTTAAAAATTCCTTGGAAAAATATCAGAGCATGGATTTCTTTTTCTAGTACCGAGACTCAAGATATAACTACATAGCAGAGAAAACGTGGAAAAGCACGCTCCCCGCCTTCCCTAATGTGCGTTCCATTTGGGTGCCTACCAAACACAGCAGGAACGCACCGAAAACCCCCCCAAAAAGCACTTGTAGGACCAAGGAAGAGTCTCACCTCCTGTCGCCCCCCAGCAGAGGTGAGCAAGATGGGGCGGCCGATGCAGACACTGGCAGACTTCATGCTGCTCAGGGACAGCTGGGCCAGGGTTCTTTGCAGCATTTTCGGAACTTTATCATCTCCTAACATTCTCAGAATGTGGGGAAAAAAAAAAAAAAAATCCCACATTATTTTTTTTCCCCTACCTGTTGTGTTAATTAAGCATTTGTGGTGCTCGATAATCCATAACAACTCACAAAACCCTTCCCAAGCCCTGAGGGGGCTGGGTTGCCCTGAGGGCAGCTCAGGGACCCTCCTGAGAGGAAACCTGCTTTAATATGGCACCATCCCCGAGGCACCTTAACACGGTGCCGCTTGTTTTACCTCCCACCCCATCTCAACCACCACTGGGAG